CATTCCGGTTTGGCGCTATGTGATTATGTCAGAGAATGGAGCGGCAACAGTGATACCGGAGCAAGTAATGCTGCTTATCATTGATTGACCAGACAAAAACGGGGAAGAAGGATCCAGGGGCAGAGTAGATAAGCGAGTGACGTGTGATGGAACAGTGTTTGCAATAGTAGCACGAGAGCAGAGTATAGCGAAAAGCACAGTTAGGTTCCATGGTTCATCAGTAGGCGAGATACTACCCGGTTGCCTAGGCCGAAGTAGGGGGTTATCTTAGGGAGTCGCCACCCGGAGCATTTGGCTCAATAGCCTACCCACAAGGCAGCGGGGCGAATTCAGGGAATCGCGCCCATTGGGAGTCGGTGACCGATTACTATATTCATAAGCCTTTCGTTTGGTCAGATACTCAACAAGGACCCAATCCTCCCAACGATGACAGCATCTGGCAGCTGGAATACAATACTTCAGTGGAATGAAGCAAGGGGCAGTGACTTTATTTAGTGGCGAGATGAATAAGTAGTCGCGGACAATCAGCTGCAGAGTCTCAGGGCGTGGGGAGTTCTGGGCTGGTCACCTGGTTCTCCAATAAATACCACAAGTGTTGGTACGGCGTTGTGTCAAAGAATATTTGCCCGCCTACTGGGTCACTCGCCACTCCTATAACTGAAAATGAGTATCTAACGGAGGGCGGATGAACAAAATTGCTGGTCACCGGCTTCTGTATGGACTACTAGGGAACACTAAGAAGGCGAATGAGCCACCTGGCTGTCAGCGGTCTACGCGACACGCCCCGATGCCTTGCTGGTTAGGTCTATAAGACCAAAAGCTCGGGGTGGGGCCTCTTAAGGCAACCCTCTTCCTCAGCCTGGGCAATCGGGAAGCTCACTGACCACAGAGCACATGGAACTTTTCATCCCTTCTTCTGACTCCCTTCCTCCTTTTTTGTTGTTGTTAATGTGTTGTGGCACGCTGCCAAACGTTTATTGCTCAACTGCTATGTTTATATATATATATATATATATATATATATATATATATATTTACAACTTGCTCAATAAACATCGGCATCGTGCCACAACACATGTGTAACAATAACAAAAAGGAGAAAGGGTCAGAGTCAGCCCCATGCTGAGGCTGATGTTGCATTCATAATGCTTCTTCATCCCAGCTGGGCTAAACCAACGTACACTAAAACTAGGTCTTTTTGATGTGCGGAAAATGCATTACATTTTATTTGGTTTGTTCTGCGTACTTAATAATCCGCTCCCAACTTGCACACGCCGCCCTTGCAAATTGTGGTAAACTTGCGTAATTATATTGCGTGGTATTTTGTAAATAACTTTCGGACATTTTGTACTAATCGCGCATTCACCTTTAACCAATTTCTTCCGTACGCTCATTTAGCTAGTATTTATGTCATCATATGCGTTTACTTTATTCGATATTGGCATTTTGAATGATTGGCTGTTGTTTGACATCCCAGGTGTGGCTGCGCTTGATGTGCATGTTGACAAGGTGCCTACCTGTCTATTACCCACTACCTCGTCCATACTGGCTCTAGGAGACTGTTGATCGTTGCTGGAGCGGACGGGGTGCACGGTCATTGTGGCCGTGCTAGGCTCGAAGAGTTATTCCACGCACTCAGTGTGGAGCGGACTATGGTCAGCCACCGCCTTGTGTGCATTTGATTCCCCAAATACAGCGTGCTTGTGTTTGCCTGTGAAGGAGTGTGGGCCGGCTCCGCTGATGAAACGGGGCTCCCATCCGCATGCTTCCCGGTCTTATTCCTTCGGGTTTACACTGGATATGGGGTGTGTGCATGGAGCTATGGGTGGTGCAGCGCAATCCATCCATGGTCCCTCTGTAGTCGCAGGCGTTCTGTGGCTGGCCAGTGACCGGCAAATCCGAAACCGGATGTCGCCAACCACACACACACACACACACACACATATATATATATATATATATATATATATATATATATATAAACTGCCCATTCTGATGTCAAAAGGAAATTGCGAAGAAATTTCTTTTCCATAATTGCCTTCAGGGAATTGCAATTATTAGTTTTATAATCACTTGTGTAGTAGCTATTGCTAGTGATGCGACACAAAGTTGTGAATGCTGCGATCGGATGAACGGTGGTAATCCATGTCTAGTTGAACCCACTACCTTTGAGCATTATGCCAGAAGTCTGGTGATCAGGCTAGGAGCACGGTAGGGTTAAACTCTGCATAAGTGCACGCTGTTTACACAATTTCGGCTACAGTTGCTTGATCGCAGTTACTTCTGCTGTGGCCAGTAGGCGCTTCCCGAATCCTTTTGTGCAGTGTTTTGCTACTACATACACGATTTTGAAATCCTCTTTCGTTTGTATGTTATGTCCACTATCTACTAGATGTTCTTGGATGGAGCTATGGAGGTTTCTGGCGGTACCATGCTGTAACGAGGCAAGTCAGCGTTCTGCTATCCGTTTTGACGGACGTCTGGTCGTGTATCCGAGGTATCTCTCACAACAGGTGCAAGTGAACTGGTATAAGACATAGGATTCAGACTGGGCCGGAATTCTGTCTGTTAGGCGGTTGGTAATGAGCGGAAAGGTTTCAGCGTGAATTCGCACTCTGGCGGCCGGGTACGTTTGGTTTAGAGCGGAATTCAACTTCCTACTCAAGAGTTAGAACTGTTTGTCTCCTTTGAAAGGCACTGAGAGGAAAACCTCTTTCCTTCTCACGATCATTTTCTGCTCAGGCTCAGCTCGGAGCTGAGAATACTTTTTGATGAAAGCATTTGGATACCGGTTGCTTTCCAATGTCTTGAGTATGAAATTGCTTTCCGCTTCTCGTGTCTCAGGACTGCACATCCTTGTAGACCGATAATACAAGCAACGTACCAACTTTCGTTCGTACTTTGGCGGTAAGGAATAGAAGAAGTGCGGGTACTGACCTACACATGTTAGCTCGCGGGAAATCATTTTTTAAAGCGATCCGTCCCCTCCTCATCGCAGCAAAACTTCCAAAAAGGCAGCTTACTGTACGCTTCAATCTCGCAAGTGAATTGCAACGATGGGTAAGCGTTGTTATATGGACCCAACAGGTGAACATGATCAGTATGAGAGTCGCAAACAATAAAAGTATCATCCATGTATTGTTTGTAATAATCAAGGGATGTGATTAGGTATCTGATAGGTCCGCGTTCAATTTTTGCGAGAAAAAAAGTCTGCAAGCAGCGGTGCTAGAAGCGATCACATTGCAACTCCGTCTATTTGTATATAGTATTTTCTATCAAATAGAAACTGTCTGCTGAAGGTGCAACGTAAAACCTGCTCTTTTACCTTACTAGCAGGGATCGGCAGAACAATGCTGTTTCCGTTAAGTATTCACAGTGAAATTGACCGTTTCTAACAATGGAACGTCCGTAAAGAGAGATTCTACATCAAAGGAGAGCATCAAATTTCATGTTCAAGTTTCCTATCTCACAGTGTGACCGGACAATTCGTTACGTATCGGTTCGTGAAGTTCCACAAGCCACTTAGCAACTGAGTGTGTAACAGACCCAGACATATATATATATATATATATATATATATATATATATTTGAGGTTCTCCGCAGCCGGCTTCCAAATCAGATAGTCGTCCAATGTCTGGAAAAGCACTAGACTGCAGTTTCAGCCTGTTGGGCATTGTCAGAAGTGTGCATCCATCGAATCCAGCAGGATTCGAACCCGTGACCACCAGCATGGGTCCGTGGAATAACCTTTTTCGCAGGACCACAACAAATGTCTCAAACAAGGTCTAAGTTACGACGCCCACTTGGCCCGTAGCTTATACATCTAAACGCAAACAATTATGAACATGGATTTGCCGCGACCCAAACGTTTGTTAGACATCTTTCTACTGAGTACTCCAGAATCATGCAGGACTGATGCTGCATCCTGAGCTATGCCACAACTACTACGCGTGCAATCCTTGGAAGATCGGAAAGTGAAGGAGCTGGCACGGGACCTCCCTTCTACTTTCTACCACTCAATGAACTCAATGCAATCGGAACTCAACCGCATTCACCACCACCCTGACATAGGTGCAGTGTGATAGTTGGGTATGAAGACGTCCTAATCCAAGCTCCCGTGCGGTCGACACGACGGAGAACGACTGTGGATGCTACACCATAAGTCAATAGTTACACAAATACCCCAAAATGCTTGCAAAAAGATTTCAGATACAGATTCACAAGAAAGAACTGCTCAAATCACCACACGATCCTACCGTGGCCTACACAAATGGCTCTATAGTGAGCACAACCCCGGAAGCCAAACATTTCCCGCAATATATCCACAACTCTGACGATTTCAATCACTCCTGTAAGTAGGGAACTTACCGTGATCCTTGAGCAATGTAAAATGGCTGGCTGATATGTCGACTGCTCATCCCGCAGAACCTGGCAGCAAGAGGCTGATGACAGTGAAAGGTACTGCTCGACTGTCATTAGCGATTACGGCGGATCGTTGTCCTGTCCCACGAGCATATATGACTAAGCGAAGAGGTCCGTATCCTAGCTCCGTCCTCTCAGCGACCTGTATTACCTCCCACGCGGGCCACATGTTTCCACAGTTCGATACATACATAGAGTTGTTCTTGGCTGTGATAGCAGCTGTTCGGAAGATTTTATTTCAAAAATGTTACTACCGATCCTGTGCAACAATTCCCAGCTTTGATAAATACTGATGCATTGTGTCTGACAATACATTAATGCTTGCAGGTTTATGATCATGACTTGCGAGTTGTGTCTCGAGCCTTTCGAGAATAAAGCCATTTTATTTATTTAAATATTTATTATTTGTATCCATTATCCCAAAGGTGGACCAAGTGATATCCGTGATTGTCTAAAGTGCATGGAAAATACCAGTGGTCCTATCCGGTGTGTAACCAACACGCATGCACCATCTGTTGACACTCCCAGCTACGGTCAAAGAAGTGACATAGTAATTCTGGGGTATTAATTGACTTACTTGTTCTCCAGCAGGTCCGGTCGGTCCAATAGACCCTTCGGGCCCAGTGGGGCCTGGCAATCCCGGTTCCCCATCAATTCCGATAGGTCCAGGTGGCCCCCGACTTCCTGGGTCTCCGATTGGTCCAGTGTCACCGCCTGCACCAACAGGTCCCTGGGGTCCAGGAGAACCTGCAGGCCCAGGAGGGCCAGGTGGTCCATCTTCTCCGAAAGGACCATCCGGTCCCGGTCCTCCCCGCGATCCATCCCTACCTGGAGCTCCTGGTGCCCCCTGAGGACCTTGTGCACCAGGTTGCCCAGCAGGGCCTTGTGGACCTTGAATTCCCTGAAAATTAAAGTTAAAAATAAACAGATGAAAGAAAAAGCTACTGGAGGATACATAAATTTCTAATTCACTAACTAACTCAAGGTCAAGAAGTAGGCTTTCAGGTGACAAAGAGCAGGCAAGATCCGGTTTGGGCGAATTGATCACTGTATCCCTAAAATAAAGGTTGTCAGTCGCAAATGTATCCGAGGAAACTATTTATACTTTTTTGCTCTGTGATCTTCTATAATTCTCGATCAACTAGCTGTATTCTGCATACTGCATGGTTGCCTCGTATGTCACACAACATAACACGTTTTTCCAGCTCACGTGTAATACTGTAATCTAGTGTACAATGTCCATCTATCTTCTATCCCAAGAAGAAAGGTAAGCGGTATGTTTGAAGCGAAAAATTGAAGATAAACTGAGACGAATCCACTAGACACCTCTCGAAATCGGGTGTCCAGAATGTTTCGTCAACGCTCATATGAAACCAAGCAGCCGAGGTCCATGGTATAAACCGTCGGGAAGAAACAGCTGTTCCTCAAACTTCCTTTTAAGGGGGACAAGGCAGCTGAGATATGCGTATACGACGAGCGAGACAAACCTGCAGAAACACTTTTAAGGCAGCCTAACCAACATTGTCTTTACGAGCAAATCGCTAATAGTAGGTATGGAGCATAATTGAGGCGTCCGACGACTGCGACCTGCTTCAGTGTGATCTTTACCGCCTCTCCATGTGGTCAGCAAAGGTCAACCTTCTGATCAATCCGGTCAAATAGGTACTCATGAGCCTGAACAAGGGTGGTAATGGCCGAGTCTACAAGCTGGCCAGCAAATAGTTACACCTATCGCCATCCGTGAAAGATCTCGGCGTACTCTCACGCTGTCATTTGAAATCCGTTGAAAACACGAAGAGGCTTCACCAAAACGGACCGCACATACTCTGGGCACTCAAACGCAGCTTCTGCACTTTGTCCGAAGAGGTTGCCACTCGCCTCTTCTCTTCTATCATCAGACCAATGCTAAAGTACAGCTCATCCGCCTACTATCCGCTCACCGGGGGCAAGGTACAAACGGTTGAGCGGGTACAGCGTGTGGCCGCAAGGCTCATCCCCGGTTTACGAGGTCTGTCATATGAAGACCGATGCAAGATGCTAGGGTTGTACACCCTGTCTCATCTTCGAATGCGGGTTGAGCTCATCATGACGTACCAAATATTACATCTAGGTGATTATCCCATGCTGAGGCTGCTGCTTCATGTGCGCACAGCAAGCAGCACACGAGGACACTAGTACAAGCTTGCCGTATCGGATTTGGAGCAGTTCGCTCACCAGCTCTGCTTCGAGCGGAGGTCGGTGAATACTTGGAACAATCTGCATGTAGACATAGTAGAAGCAAAGTCCGTGTCAGAGTTTAAGAAACTCCTGGACTCGCATTGCCAATTTGAGGTTTCGAGAACAATCATCAATATAATAGGTAGATTTGCTTAAAGGATATTAGATGTAACTACACAGTGACAACCCTACTCGCTACATATTCTCCGTTTGCAGTTCAGAGCTTCAAAAAGTGCCTGGTCAACCCCAATAAATGGTTATCTACCAATTCGCTTGCTCCTGTGGGGCTAGCTATATTGGACCTACGATCAGACACTGGAAAAGGCGAATCAGGGAACATTAACCGATATCGTTCATTAAACAGAAGGACAAAACTAACTTAGGTGCAATAACTAACCTTGTGATTTGCACTGGGCATCTAACAAACAAATACATTGCCTTCGCACTCTTGTATAGGGTACCGTCGCAACTAAATCACAACTGCTTGCTATCGCTGAAGCGGTACGCATCAGGTTGACAAAACCGAATCTACGCATTCAAAAGAAGCTCGGCAACACAGTGCAACTACCTTGGTCAGCAACCCACCGAGAGGAATTGGATCTCGTTGGACAGCATCCCATGACTTCAATCGTTTGATTCCCTAACGCTTGTTCTGATAACATTTACTTTTGCTCTACCAATAGCCTATCACACCATCCTCAAATGAACTTCGCTTTTCTCGACGTATATTACTGTAGCAAGCCTGATGAGGATTAAATCGAAAACAGTTGTTCGCTTCAAGCGCACTGCATACATTTCATTTTGGGTTAGATAATATTTTACTTGTGGTATGCAGTGCATTGAAGGTAATGCACAAGGTGATGCATATATCTCCTTACTCATGTTTACCTATGCAAGAAACTGAGTGCAAGTAGTTTGCAACCGAAACTCTCATGATCACAGGACGCAAGTTAACAAAGGTTTTCGCGGTCGCAATGAGATTGGACCCATTCCATGTTAAAGCGATTTAGGGAAGGCACTTCAGTACAGCTGTTACACGTTCCACACTGCGATCGTTCACATGTCAGGTTCTTCTATCGATTCGGTGAATTGTACTGGTAACGTCTTCATCCGAATTGAACTTTGCATCTGGTGATGGGATAATCTTTTTTGTTTATGAGACCCTTAAGAAATCACTTCAAATGTTCGTACAATTCCTCACCGCTGATAGCAATGTGATAGATAATACGCGCAATGAAAACGTACTCACCTGAAATCCTGGGTCACCAATCACACCGGGTGGACCTGCCGAACCAGTCCGTCCCTGCCTGCCGGGTCGTCCACGATTGCCTTTTGGTCCGACCGGTCCTTCGGGTCCCGGACCACCAGGTAGTCCTTGGAGGCCTCGTGGGCCAAGTGGTCCTGGTTCACCCTTGGGGCCCCTCAAACCAGGAATGCCTGGTGAACCTGGATTGCCAGATTTGCCTGGTGCACCAGGCACCCCCGCTGGTCCATCGTCCCCAGTGGGTCCCGGTGGTCCGGATGCTCCCTTGCTACCTGGTTCTCCACGAGGGCCGTTTGGCCCAGGCGGACCCTGTGGGATGAGGAATGCGACAGCAATTTAGTTAGATGCACAAGAAAAAATAGCATATACGTGTATGTGTAAAACATACAACTTATTTTTGCTCTCCAAATACCACAAACTATCCGAACACTTGGTAACAGAAACATCAAACCAGTTCGAACGAAAAAACGTTCTTTTGCAACAGCTTCTCAAGTCACCAGCCATGATTTAAATGCTAGTCTAGTGTACTGTTGCCAAGCTTGACCTAACAATATGTTGACTTAAAATATTTCGGGAAACTGGTAGCTCGGGTTGATTATTCAGTTACTCATTTGTTCGCCGAGATTGGAAATTTGTTTACAAACGTTTCACCGCCACGCGAGGCGGCATCATCAAGGCGTCGAGATGTGGAGTGTGATCTCGACAATTGAACTGTTGCTCCGTAATCGGCGTGCAGGTGACGTTTCGAAAGAGACGGCTTCGATCTGTGTCCCGTGATCTCTACTCATTTCCCCGTGGCGGAAGTCGTCTATTTAAATGTTTCCAACTCAACGGATACCCACGGAGTTTCATCCGAAGTTGTCTGAACCATAACAAACCGGACAGTCTACATCAAAGACGGAGAGACGCGTTGTTTTACCTTATATGAAGAACATAACCGAAATGGCAGCAAGACTATTCAAACAACATCACCTCATCGAAGCACACAAACCAACTGCCACATTGAGGAAAACTCTGTCGAAACCGAAAGAGAAACTGGAAGCTCATGAGCAAAGTAATGTTTTATATAGACTAACTTGCAAATTGCGAAAAGGACTATGTTGGCCAAATAGGTAGAAAATTATCAACACGATTACAAGAGCACAAAAGAAAATGCAAAAGGCCCTATGCATCATCGCTAGTCTCAGCACAAGTGGAGGAAAAAGTACACAACTTTGTTTGGGCCAAAACAGAAGTCCTGGCCCGAGGCGAAACAAGAAGAGAAAGGGAGTTCCTGGAAGCGTGGTTCTCAATAAAATACTCGATCAACATGCATATCGAGATGGACCCAGTTTACCAACCCCTCTAGTGGAGAGCCCTTAGAGAAATTATGAGACGTCACGTGAATAGCAACGACCTGAGCGACGACTTCCGCCACGGGGAAATGGGTAGAGATCACGGGACACAGATCGAAGCCGTCTCTTTCGAAACGTCACCTGCACGCCGATTACGGAGCAACAGTTCAATTGTCGAGATCACACTCCACATCTCGACGCCTTGATGATGCCGCCTCGCGTGGCGGTGAAACGTTTGTAAACAAATTTCCAATCTCGGCGAACAAATGAGCAACTGAATATATTGATTGTCCATTACCTTCTCGATAACGCGGTGATGGACATGGAGAAGTTTGACAGCGCATGTCCCCGTGCCAACCTGATTTCGGGCCGTTCATTTGCTCTGGTCAGCGATGTAAGGAGTCAACGCTGTCCATCTAGCTTACTAGCTCACAATGGTTTCCAAGTGTTTTGTAGCTTGGTCTTGTTACTCTCTACTAACTGACAATCACCTGCGCTGGCTTTCAGTAGCATAAGAGCGTGGGCCACTCAATGGAAGAACTAGTACCTTGGGGGCCAACCGTACCGTGTGTACGGCAGTAGAGGATGAGTTGTGCCAGCACAGATCACAGTCAGGTGTAGTGTTCAGTACAGTACAGTCGAACAACAATGATCCGGACATCAAAGTGTGATGAGTCCAGTCTCTAGGACGCACTTTTCCAGAATAACAATTAATAACAAAGGGAAGGACGGTAGGTTAAACGCAAATAACATACTGGTAGATTTTGTGAGTAGTGTAATTTTCGTAGAAAGTAGAAGCCAAGATTAAACATCGCACAATAATCTGGCTAGACGGGAAATCGAACCCCGGACCCACGGTAACCCGTGGGCCTGGGATTCGATTCCCCGTCGAGACAGAGTCTTGTGCGAACTTTAATGGTGGCTTCTACTTTATATGCAAATAGAATACAAGGAAAGTCGAATCAAGACAAATGTGCGCCGAACTAATCGGGATGGAATGAAAAGTAGCGGTTAGATACAAGAGACCGAGTGCATGAACGCTACTGACTGTATGACTTCGTCATATCTGATAAGGTCTCAAACAGTTTGTGTGCCCCAGTCTGACCAAGTCCCTCAGTCAATTTCCCCATGCCCTCATGCGACTTAATCGACTGGTCACTTGGCGATTTCAGCCAAGCTGTTGCAGCCACGACGTATATCGCACGCCGGGGAAGTCGGTCAACTGGCATGACCTAGCTAACTCAGTCAAAGTAAAAATAAGCCACATCCACCCATATGGCCATCTTTTCGGCATTTTGACACAAACATTGCGAAATTTAATATAAAAAGCAGCAGTGAGAATTAAAAATGGACAGCAGTAAAACAAAAAATTGCATCTTCATTCAAGCATACTGTCAGGCACATGGTGTTTCCTTCGTAATGGATCGATTATTCAGCGTGGTAGCTAAGACAGAATGGAGTTTCCATATGACAAGAGACTATAAAACTACCTTTCTGTCTTGTGAAAGAATTAGAAATAGTGCTGGCTAGGATAGTATGTGAAAGCTGAGAGTGTTCGTTTGGAATCCCGGATGAAAGTTGATACATGCATCAAAATGTTTTTTAGGCGAAAAAAGCAATGAATGGTACTTTCCTTACTCCAGAGCAGCGATCGGACAACAAGGATATAAGTCTGTTGAAAAAGTCCGAGGAAAATACCAGGTGAACACATGCAGTTACAATCTTTAAATATCTAAAGACATTGTATATTCCTCGACGAGGCGAGAAGCTGTTACCTAAAAGGAACGGATCAAGTAATGGTAAAACCTTTCCATGATATTGCATTAATACATGTTCAGAAATGAACATTGGCGCAATTGCAAATTAGGTAACACAGAGTAATCAGAATCGTTCCGTTATTTTTCCCCGCCAATGAATCAGGATTCTTCACAATCACATGCCAGATGTTTGGGCCGAGAAAAAATCTAATGTTAGGGGCTGCTGTCCGAAATGTTATGTGTATGTTTCGAGAACTTATTCAGGCACCATGTATACCGTTTTCGAATGCGTTATCTAGGGACTGTGATATCCCGAACATATTGCTCACGTTTTGGACAGTTGGATGCTTACTAACCGCATGCTTAAAATTGCAAAGTGTACCGTATGTTCTGCTATCACTTCTAAGTACGGGGACAGTAAAGCATTTTAAGTCTGAGGGCGCAAAAGTGGGGCCTTCTAACTTTCTCAATGTTTCAAGAACATGTGTAGATCAAGATAAATTGTGAGATAAGAAAACACTGAGATGTTTCGAGGTAAACGAACGAGGTATGCTTCTGTTATCTACAATCACGTGAGGAGAGAAATGTGGTAGGGAGTGCAGTCAGTCGAGATGTAGAAAACAACACGTTACGTCATAACACTTAGGAGGATTGAGAGGGACCGGGAGCTCAACTAAGTCACTAGTTTCTCTGAAGCTCGTTGGAGTTGCAAACAATACCCGATGATTGGGGTGATGCAACCCTGGACGACTTCATCAGCATAATTACAGACCATGAAGTTTGATGGAATAGGGAAATGGGGGATAGTATGGCCCCCTGGGAAACAGAACATTTGGGTGGGGGTGCAAAAACTTTTTGCCGCATAGCTACGTGAAGTGAGTGTGATTTATGAAGTAATCATGCATAACACTACACACATATGTGGGGACGCCTTTTTCTGACAAACTGTTGAGAAATAGTAATAGTGTAATTAAGAAATAATATGCGTACACTCTTGCATCTATTAGCCAACGCTAATGCAATGGAATGCACCAGATAAGAAACGGTATCCAATGTAGAGTGCACTGGTTTACGGACAAGCAGTTTGACATCATCAGTATGATCAGTAGTTTTCCGGTATGTTTAGCGGCACCGACGTGCACACACAATTGGTCGATAGTTCGGAAATCCCTTTTAAGACACCGTTGTTATTCTGGTTCATTACCAAATGTTTGAAATGGCACTAGTCTTTAAGCATCGATTCATGAGCTCTGGCAGAGCTGTTGCAGAAATTTCCGCACATTTTTTCAGAGCGACTGCTGATAGAGCGCCCGATGCATTAGCCCTGGTTGGATTTAGTCTTGTGAACTTCTTGTAAACACTCGTAGAATCAAATAAAGTGGTAGGCTCAGTAGTGGTAACAGAAGGCTGGAGGAGTGTATTAGGTGATAAGGAGCTGAACTCAGCGTTATGTTTAGCTACATCCTCAGTAATAAGTGTTCTGATGGAAATCTTTCATGAAAGCTGTCTTAGAAGCCTCTACAGGTCACGGCAACTGTGGTTGCCTAAAACCGTCTGAATGTCCCCCGTGTTTAACCTTTTTATTTCAGCTTTTATACCTAAGGATAGACGTTCAAAGCGGGTAGGTAGCCTAGGTTTATAAGCTTGTTCTTTTCATCCAGGCAGTTGCTTGAGCAATGGAGATGAAAATAGATTGTTTCGCAAATAGATTGTCTCAATGAGACAACACAGATTGTAACCGAAGTTAGTATAATCTGTGAGGTGATCGCATTGAGTTGACAAGTCTTCATTGGACAAAATTAAAATATCAGTGGAACATAGATTTGAGAGTTGAGTTTTCGAGGTTAGCTGCTGTGCAGTTCTGTCGGTTAACAGTTCTGGCGGACCTTTACGTCAGCGCACACGAGTGGAGCACCGGTGGGTATCTTGTCAAAAACCAACTGATCAATCTGAGCATTGCTCATCCAGTGCTCCCACCAGATATGAGCAATACTCCGCGTGCACCGGTGGTCAAACATGGTAAAGTGTTTCACGTCTTCAGTGCCAAACTGACCAGGTCGCTACTCCACACGGTGACACCGGTCTTATCACAACGTTGTACGCTATACCTTTCACTAACCGGCTGAGATCTCACCGTCTCCAAAGATGGTTAAGTCCATAAAATATCACTCTGGTCCTGTTTATACGCCTGTTATATACTCCGTCGCCATGTCCTGCGAATCAATGGTTTAGATCGGTGTTTCGCGACAGTATTAACACAGCGCCCAGTCCTATAGGATTCCACAGAGGGGCGCACTAATTGCGAGTCCTGGTAAGACGAAACGGCCGCCTAGTTCTTTCCGGAGTACGTGCTGACTGTCTGAATCTGGTTGCTGTGATCCTTCGCCAAAAATCCTTTACTACTATCTAACAAAGATGAATCAACCAGATGGATTACAATGTAATAAGATGACTGGTGGTGTAGCGAGAAGTCCTAGCTCAGGAGTTATGCGATGGATAAGGTGTGTAATATCCCAGTTAACACTCGATCGTAGCGCTCCTTCACCTTCGCCCATGGCTCAGTGGCATTAGTTGCTGAGTTGGAGTAGCACTGTATCAGGTTCGAGCGTCACAAAAATAAAGAGAACTGGTTGATACTGCGAGTCTTAACAGGATGAAGTAGTCATTCTAAACTGTCCCGGAGTGCCAGTAGCTGTCTGACAAGATCCAACTGCCGCGAATCTCATTTGAACAGTTTAAGAATTCCTAATTCCGGTTGTCCCCACCTCCAACATTCCACAGAGTGTCCAGCTCGAGAGTTGCACCTTGACGGGCGATGCGTCCTGTACCTCAAGGGCTGCAACCCAAAAGCGCGGCAAGTGTTTCCAGCCTAAACTCTCCACACATCAACGCAACGCATTTCGGGCAGCGCATATTCAATACATTCGGAAAAATTTCACACTATACTTCATCTAGCGGTGCTGGAGGAGATGACCAACTTGACTGGTAAAAGGTAGAATGTACGCTGAGGTTGAAGTAGATGGACTGCTGCAGATTTGCCAGTAGTAAAAACACGCTCACAGTCCAATTAAAAATAACAATTATCACATGGATTTGGACAACAAACACTAGTAACTCATCAAGAATGTGGCGTTGTTTCATCACCGTCGTATCTAGGAGTATCATGAAAGACTTGGTGCCACTGATTTCTGGCGCGATCTATAGCATTAAAAATTGCTAACCACTATGAGTCCGTGTCACGTTGTTCCCAACACGCAAAGGGGACAGATACAACACGACGTGAGGTCAACTATTTGTGTCAGTTTTCTACCTCGCCTTCCGTGACAACTAATCCAAGTACCTCCGGAGAACACCGACTGTTCTCCCGCAGCATTCGGCTTCTGACTTCCGTATTGCTTACCTGGTGGTGTCACCACATGCAAGCAACTGTTCACAAGCAGCGATTGTCTTTGCTAATTTCTTGGTCCAGTCAATCACCCCTCAAGGTAGTATATGTCCCGCTGGATGGTTTAACACGGTTATCGAAAAATTAAAAAACTTGGTTATTTCCGTTAAAAAGAAGGACTTATTGTTTGTTTCGCTGTAGTCCTGCGATCCGTGTGGTTTCACTGCACAAACATGTAACAGCAAGTAAATCCAAAATATATTCCACGTGGGGGATGAGGATGTAGTACTAGGTAACGGAGTGTAGGTGAGTAAGTGAGTCATCCAAACATCTTTTAAATGTGGATAGTGATGGTGCAGAAAGGACCGATTCTGAAGGAGCATTCCACGGATGATATTTGCGTACGGAAAAGAAATTCCTACGGTAATCCAGGCGAGGATACTGTTCTGCCAGTTTAGTGAGTGACCTCTTAAGTTGGTAGTATTGCTGGATTGCAGTAAAGAGCAGCACACATGGTGTGGATCGTGCGGCATTAAGTACACCATTATGAAGTCACCTCGTAAGCGGCGGTAACGTACGGCGAATGCCCCCTATCGTTCCAGCCTCTTGTCGGATGGAAGATTGTGCGTTACAATAACATAGTTTGATGCTTGATGGTGGGATTGCTCTAATGCACTAAGGTCGTGTTTTAGCCATGGGTGCCAGGCTTGAAGTGCATATTCGACATGAGGACGAACATACGCAGTAACCATCTGCCAGAAAATAGAGCGATCTATTTTTCCGAACGCCCGTCGTAATAGACCCATATGTTGGTTACCAGTTTTGGAGGCGTGCGCGGCTTGCCTGGAACAACCCAGATCATCCAATACACCCGAATCACGTTCGGCGACAGCCCGATGCAATACATGCGTTCCGAGCCGACAACAGGGGTTGCTCTGGCGTCGTATGGAGAGCATTTTGCTTTTACTCACATTAAATTGCAGTGAATTTTGGATGGACAACGGATGTGTTATGCCTAGATCACTCTGAAGCTGTTGCTGGTCAGTATTCCCCTGAACCTTGTGCAAAATCTTCACATCATCGGCAAACAGCAGGAAGTTAGATGTAATTGCCTGTGTGAGGTTATTGATAAATACCAAAAACAATCAGGGACCTAGCACCGAAGCTTGAGGCACACCACATCTAACTTGCATGGAGTCAAAGAAGGAGCACCGAACACTGACCACCAATTGCCGATGAAGGGGATTGCTGGCGATCCAGCTTATAAGAGGGTCACCGATTCAGTAACGCTGTAGCTTGGAAGGGAGTATCCGATGATCTAGACCGTCGAATGCTTTTGAGAAATCCAGGTAGGTCACGTCAACCTCCTCTCCAGCACCAGGTGAATGGATTCAGCTACCCGGTGCTATTAGTAAATTCGTTGTGCACGAAGATTCCGACGGAAACCGTGCTGCTCAGAAATAATACTCTTAGAGTTTTCCAAATAGCTCACCAGCGCGTCGGCTATGATAGATTCCATCACCTTGGACAGTATATGGAGAAGGAAAACTGGGCAATAGTTTGAAGCCTCGGTTCTGCTTTCACCTTGGTGAATGCGTGTTACTATTCCAAGCTTCCATATGGCAGGCGCTTGGTTCTGGTCTAAGCATCGATAGATGAACTAAGCCAGTGGCTCTGCCAGTTGACTTGCTGCTGCTGCCAGGGCCTCTGGACGCATAGTATCGACACCCGGGGAGTTGCTTTCGTAGACTTATCAGCTTCGGTGGTTTTAAGTGCTGCACGGTTCCAATCCAACAGGGATGAGTTAAGGATGATCAATTAGCTCTCTGTAGCATGTATGTGACTGGGTAGAAAAGCATTCGCGCGCGAGGAGAGTGACTCACAAGCTGCATATGTGGGTTCTACATTTCCGTATGGCAAACACTGAAGCCTGTTACGGATGGGCAAGAGGGCAGACCGGGAGCAGTAGAAACCAGCTTTGGAGACTGTCTAGTCCGTGTAGCGCATTCCCAGCCCACAAGCTACACAGCACAGCCTAGTCCAGAAAAGCACCAGACGCGTCTCTCCATACTGGGGCTCGTCAGTGGTGCACATTCCCTCGGTCCCCTACTGGGGATCGAACCCATGACCGCTAGAGGCAGATGCCAACTAGCCAGCAGCTTAAGCCACTGAGCTATGGGGGACGTCTGCTGGGATAGAGCACGACCTCTCTTCCACTGCCCCGCAGATGACGGTTGCTTGGTATAATGTTAATAGGATAAAAAAGGCTCTC